ACATATGTAGCTCACAGCGTAATTTTTGTAAGTTTTAATGCTTCTAAGAGAAATGGGAAGAGGTTGGTACTGTTCTTTGATGTTAACTATTCCTTTGGGGCAGACCATGTCTTTTTCCTCACTGTTGTGGTATTTTTTTCTGTTTGAAATTCAGTGTGACTGTATTGTTGTTGTTATTAACTTTCCTGTCAACAAAACTGGAATTTAATTATGCGTTGAAATGTAACTGTTGTGTTCTGAGGAACACCTTTGAAATCCATTGAAGTCAGTTTGAGAGTCTCTGATTTTAGTGGTCTTTGTCAGGAGGAAGTATGTCCTGTGACTGACTTTTAATTGATAATTTGCCCAATAGAAAAATTCTGTGAACAGTGATGTTTGAACAGAAATTTTGCTTTTGGGAGTGTAAAAACAAAAAAGAAGAGGAGAGAACCAAAATATCATCAGTGCTTTTGTTTTTTTTCTGCAGAAGAGTAGCAGCTCTGAATCCTTGAGTGACAAAGGTTCAGCTGAACTGAAGAAGAGCTTTGATGCAGTGGTATTTGATGTTCTAAAGGTTACACCAGAAGAATATGCGGTAAGCAATTCAACTAATTTTTGTTACTTTGTGTCTGAATTTTCTTGGCAGCTTTTCCTTTGCTTCTCCATTTCTATGTGGTTTTTGCTTAACTTCTGTCATCCATGGGTTTCAAAAATGGATCCTGCACTATAGTTCTTCATTGTCTATAATCTGTTTAATGTTAAGTGATCTTTTTGGGCTATGCTGTCCAGGCATTTTTCACATTCTTATATGTAATATAGACCAAAGATTCTTAAATCTATATGATGCAGCTTAATTCTGATATGTGTATTTTAGTTGCAAGATTATACTTGATCTGTACTTGTTTTTTCTGGACGTGTTTTAATTTTTAACTCTAATTCTTACATCTAGGGAGTGTTTTGTTCTTTCAGGTGCAATGGTACAGAATAATGAGTTGGATATCCTGCAGAACCAAGAACAAATGAGTAAAAATGTTTAACCAAAACATTGGGTGATTTTTTTTTTTTTTTTACCCTACTTGTAGAGGTTAAGATGACAGATGGTCCCTCTAAGTGATTCAAGTATGTTACTAGAAAGATTGCTAATAAGGTATTGCTCTTAATGCATTTATAATTCAAGTGATGAGATTCATGATGAGTTGTCCTGGAGAGATTATCAGTATGTGGTAGTATGTATCACAAAATACTTCCATTAAGTTTGTTCTATTTTTTTTAATAGTTAATAACTATTTCAGTTAATTATTAATGGCTAACTTGATTTTAATGAGCACACTAAAAATTTAAAGCATCTGGATTGTGAAGTAGTACTTACACATGAAATTCTTCATGGATAGTTAATGGGAGTTATTCCTGACTGAGGTTCAAGTCATGTGATTCAGGCCTCTTCCTTGCTCTGTTGTCAGGAGCAGCTGGGCAATGAATCACCTACTTTTCATGGGAAGATGTTTTTGGGGCTGGCTATCTTTTCAGTTCCTACATAAAGGAAATCTAAGTACTTAGGAAATCTGGGGCTAGGGGCATGAATTCAAGTGGAATTATGCATTCAGGCCAGAATGGCTCTGCTATTTAGCCAGTGGTGGATGCTGCTGAGCAGCAGAGTAGATCATTTAGTCTCTGTTGAGTTGCTGTCACTGACTTGGACAGCAAAACATACGAAGGTGCTTTGTCTTGTATCGCATTTCATAATCCTTTTGCTCTACTGTCCTCTAGTGTCTAATCCTTCATCTCTTGCGCAGAAACCTTTTACCTTCATGGGTGTTCTAAATGTTGCATACTTAGTAATCTTGGTTAGATAAAAATCTTTATTAAAATCCAGTGTGTTTACTGTTTTCATATTATGCCTCAAACTGGGTGGAGTTCCACTCACAATCAGGAATCTTTTAAGTCAGCATTTCACATTACAATTACAAACCTGTGGTTGTATTTTTGGTTTGTATTACCTGGTATAATTTTGCTGTTTTCTCAATTCCCCAAAAGAAAACATCTTTACTCTTGGCCTTCTCCCTTTTAAAGTATCTAGTTTATAGAATCACAGAATGCTTTGGGTTGGAAGGGACCTTTAGAGGTCATCTAGCCCAACCCCCCTGCAGGGAGCAGGGACAGCTTTAACTAGACCAGGTTGCTCAGAGCCCCAGCCAACCTGACCTTGAATGTTGCCAGGGATGGGGCCTCCACTGCCTCTCTGGGCAACCTGTTCCTGTGCTTCACCACCCTCATTGTAAAAAATTTCTTTCTTATGTCTAGTCTAAATCTATTCTTCTTTAGTTTAAATCCATTATTCCTTGTCCTGTCACAACAGGTCTTGCTAAAAAGATTGCCCCCATCCTTCCTATAGGCACCCTTTAAGAACTGAAAGGCCACAATAAGGTCTCCCCGCAGCCTTCTCTTCTCCAGGCTGAACAACCCCAACTCCCTCAGCCTGTCCTCATAGGAAAGGTGCTCCAGCCCTCGGATCATTTTTGTGCCCCTATTCTGGACCTGCTCCAACAGGTTCATGTCCTTCTTCTGCTGGGGGCTCCAGAGCTGGCTGCAGTAGTGCAGGTGGGGTCTCACCAGAGCAGAGCAGAGGGGCAGAATCACCTCCCTCGACCTGCTGGCCACGCTTCTTTTGATGAAGCCCAGGATTCGATTGGCTTTCTGGGCTGCAAGCGCACATTGTTGGCTCATGACCAGCTTTTCATCCACCAGTACCCCCAAGTCCTTCTCTGCAGGACTGCTCTCAATCCCTTCATCCCCCAGCCTGTATTGATATCGAGGTTGCCCCAACCCAGCTGCAGGACCTTGCACTTAGTCTTGTTGAACCTCATGAGGTTCACACAGGCCCGCCTCTCCAGCTTGTCCAGGTCCCTTTGGATGACATCTCATCCTCCTGGAGTGTCAGCGTCAGGAGTCAATGTGTCAATGGAGTTCTTCATATCAGGTTACATTTACTGTAAATGGATCTGAAATGTCTTATAGATAGAATTCTGAACAATTAAGCAAAATTGCCAGTAGTCAGTGTTCAGCCCTTTGGCAAGGTTGTAATTAATTTCATTTCTTTTTCAATGTTTCTGTACACAGCTGCACATCTTTGGTAATGTTTGTTTCCCCAGGCAAGTTTATCTGCTTTTCCAGTAGGCCTTGCTTGCTTTGAATGCTGTCTTTTTCTGATCATTCTAGCTGAAGGTTGTAGAAATAAGTAGATTTTCAAAAACCTTAGGTGCCTTGGAGGAAAAGTACCTTTGACCCTTACACTTGTTTTTATTTTATTGGCCATTTCCTTATTCTTCCTGTCTTAAGTCCTACCATAAGAGAAGTATAAAATCTTCATCTGGATTTCAGTGTTAATGTGAAGACTACCAGAGTGATGCAGTATGGCTGAGCTCTTGAGGATACAAGCGCTGATGAGAATGCAAAACTGTATCAGCAAGGCTTTCATTATAATAGTGGGTATGTACCTCTTGGATTGGACGTGGATATGCTAGCAATTGCTTTTTCAAAATATGAGAAAACTTCTACTTTAGTGATAGCTCTTGTAAAATGGATGCAGTGCAGACTACTGTCACCTGTGACTTAGTGAAAGCTGAATTCTATTACCAACTGCGGAATGAATATTGTTTAAAAAAAATTTTTTTTTGAAGTGATAAACTGAGGAAATAATTTGTGGGCTGTGTAAGTACCGTATTCATGGAGAGAAAAGATCATGTGATAAAGCCAGTAAAATGGCAATAAAAGCCAGTTGTTGCACAAGAGCTAGTTAGACAGCTGTCTAATTAATGGTTAGGAAACCTTGGCTTAAATGAAAAAGAATTCCAGTGCATAGGTAGCATAAAGACGAGAGTTAACTGATAAAGTCAACATCAGCATTGTGAAGTCTTATCCTGCACCTTAAATGATATATTGCATTTTTATCAAAACGGGTCACTGTGTATAGATGAGACAATTACAATTATGCTGGAGAAAGAAGAGCAAAAATCTGAAAGATAATTAAGTTTGAGAGATACTGGAAATAAGATTCATGCTAGTGGTTTCAGTACCAGTACAAGACACACGGATGTCTTTTCAGTTCCTGCTGTGTTACAGACATCATTGTTATTTGAAAACTCAATCTGTTTAGTCAGTTAGTGGGTAAGAGACAAGTTGGACTACAAAAGCTATTGCTTGTAATCCTGTATTTTCAAGAAGCTGCTTACCAAGCCAAAGAGAAGCCCAAGTGTAAATATTTTTGGTGATTTTGTTTCCATATTCTTCCCTTTGGCAGTCATCTAACACTATCCTGAATGCTCTGTCAGTGTGCCATTTCATGTAATGGTCCTTTGTTCAGTCTCGTACTAGCTTTCTAGCAAAAGTATGCCAGCCCTTCAAGGGTTCTAGTTTGAACAGTAACGGTAATGATTATTGTAATACATATGTAATAGTCCAGTTATACTGTTGTTACCAACCAGGTGTTTTAAGTTCTTTGTAAGGTTGAAGGCCACTTTAGAAAAGGGCCAAGTTACAGCTGAAACAGGTGAGATCTTCAGGCGCAGCTGCTGCTGCTGTTGCAAATTTAAATAAAATAGTTTGCTTTATCCCCCTGCAGCTTACAAAAACAGTTTCTAGGGGATGTATTGAATGCATGCATGTTTCAGAAATTTGGGGGAGAAAGAATCCCATTCAATGAGCATGAAGTAGGACACGTTTATTTTCTGCTAAGGATACTAATAAGGAGACTGTCTCTGTTTTAAATACCTGCTTTTAGGCTGATCACTGCTCACTTCTTTATTAAACAGCTAAAAGCCACAAAACAAGTTGGTGCCAGGATTACCCACTGGTGTCTGGCCCTGCCGATGGAGCCGCTGTGTGTGTACAGGGTAGGCACAGTTGCAGTGAATGCTGTCCATTTTCGTTGAAGGGAGATGTGTGGTTTTGAGTGTACAGGGCACAATTTGTGGGGGAGGGATATGTTAATGGTGCAGTGGCAGTAGAAAGGGGAGGCTGGTGAGACTGAAAGAAAAAAGGAAAATGCTTGGGGACATAAGCTCCAAATTAAGATGCTGGCGAACCTCAGGTTGAAGAAATATTTATTTTTTGCTTTACAGTAAATTCTTATTCCTTAGACTGCTACTGTTTAATTATTTGACTGTTTATTACTTTTTGACTGACTTTTCCATTTTATACTTCAACTTAGCCACGGTGGTGTAAATATTTGAGGTAGAATTAAGGGAAGCGCAGCTGTATAAATCCATTGCTTTTTTTTCCACCTAGTTATCTAAGAAGGATTCTTTATTCTTTGCCCTAGTCTCTGAAAGCACTATGAAGTAAGCTCACACTAAGATGTATGTCTATTTCTTTCTTTTTGATTCCAGTTAAGCTTTGTCAAATGGATGTTGGAAAAATGAATATTGCTTATTTTGGAAACACAAATAAAGTTTATTTAAAAAATGTTTAGATGAAACAAGGAATCTTTCTCGGAGGCATTCTTACAACAGTTAAATATCAAGTTATCTATTTCTGAAGAAAGAGCATGAGAACGTGTTTTGTAAAGGAAGCAGGTTCCAAGAATTCTGGAACCGCATT